ATGAACACAAGTATATAATATAATATGTGTACTCATAACCCTAACCCCTTACCCACCCTACCTTACCCCGACCCCACCCACCGCCTACCCCTACCCATACCCTACCTACCTGACCCCACCCTACCTACCCGACCCCACCCTAACCTGTCCCCACCCTACCCTACCCCCGACCCCATAGGCCCCCATAGGCCCGTAGGGGTAGGGGTAAGGTGGGGTCGGGTAGGGGTAGGTGGGGTAGGGTAGGTGGGATCAGGGTAGGTGGGGTAAGGGTAGGGTGGGGGTCGGTTAGGTAGGGTAGGGGTGGGGTGGAGTAGGGTAGGTGGGGTAAGGGTAGGGGTGGGGTGGGGTGGGGCAGGTGGGGTAAGGGTAGGGGTGGGTGGGGTGGGGTCGGGATAGGTGGGGTAAGGGTAGGGTGGGGGTCGGTTAGGTAGGGTAGGGTAGGGGTAGGTAGGGTGGGGTCGGGGTGGGGTAGGGTAGGTGGGGTAATGGTAGTGTGGGGTGGGGTGGGGTAGGTGGGGTAAGGGTAGGGTGGGGGTCGGTTAGGTAGGGTAGGGGCGGGGTAGGCAGGGTGGGGTCGGGGTGGGGTAAGGGTAGGGTGGGGTCGGGGTGGGGTAAGGGTAGGTGGGGTAAGGGTAGGGTGGGGTCAGGGTAGGTGGGGTAAGGGTAGGGTGGGGTCGGGGTAGGTGGGGTTGGGGTCAAGGTGGGGCAGGGATAACAATAGGTTACGGGTAAGGGGTAAATTCGGAAACTGAAAAAGCTTAAAGTGCCGCTTAATTAATACATGGGGGGTGGTATGCTTAATAAACGACACTTTAAGCACCTCTTTCGGTTAGTAAGCGGCTTTTTAAGCAGCGTGCGTGTTTACTTCACCTGTCTTACTAACCTAACTGTGACTTTAGCAGTGAAGTAAACACCTCCTTTGACTTTATAATAATCGGAGTAATAAATAATTATTTTGATATCTTCATCACTATTTATTTCGATTTTTTTTTAAAATTACCATAAAAAGTATAGTTATTTCAAAATAAATAATTATACAGGTTCAACAAAAATTTATTTATTACTCCGTATTGTTTAATGTTTACACATCATAAGAAAAAACCTATAATCAAAGAATCAAAGTAGGATATCTCATAATGTAAACATTAAGATGTGTATAAAAAACATACTCTTTCAAAAAACACAAAAAACTTATCAACATATCTCGAGAATATATGAACATGGGAAAAAAATTATTTGACTAAATATTGTGTAGATTAGATAGAAATGATATGCAAGGCTGGTCCTGTTCAGTTTTGGGCCTATGGCCCTATGGGCGATATACTACTTTGGCCTTAAAGTAAAAATTATGGAGTATAATAAAATTAGGAGAAATCACTCTAAATACGACTAAAAACATTTGTATATTCCAAACTGAGATCATCATGTTTTTATTCGCTAAATAAAAGTAATTAATGTCATATTTTGGGAGTATCATATTTTACACATGGTAGTATTTTCCAAACATGACAGTAATTACTCATATTTAGAAAATAAACACATTACAGTCCTATTTTGTAATTCTCAAATAAACATTACTCCTATTTCAGGAATTCTCCCTACAACTATCTAATAAAGGTTATAAAAAAGATGAAATTCACCTTCATATTATTTGAAGTGCATATTTGGACAAAAGTAACAACACACGGAACACAAAAGAACATTGTGGAGTAAATTCATAAATAATTGCTTTATAATCAATCTTTTCCAAGATCATACGTGCAATGTTTAAAATTGCTAATCCATTAAGTTTTATGAAGCATAATAGATAATTGGGATGATGTTTGAGAATTGGGAGCACGGCAACCCAAAGACAATAATATAAATTGGTAATTTTGTAATTAAAAGAATAAAAAATCTTAAAGACTAAAAAGATGTGAAGAGACGTGTTTTTATTGATTCAACAACAAATGTGTTGACTTACTACCAACTTTATTTAAAAATCAAAACAAAATTTATATTCAAACTTGTCTAGCTTTGTTCAAGACTTTTTACTTATGTTTTAAAATTCTCAAATTCTCAAGAAAACTTAAACAATAGGCCTAATTAATTAATTGAAATTATAAATAAAAAAGAAGTCTACTCATATTACATATAAATAAAAAAACTTGGGCCTAATTTTCTTTCTACTTTTTTCGGGCCTAGGGCGATCGCCCCTGCTGCCCTCCCCCTAGGACCGGCCATGATAATATGTCCTGCTAAAGGTCTTTAGGGGACACCCAATAGATTATACTCCCTCCGTAACTTTAGAATCTTCCCATTTCAAAAGTAGGTAGATTAAGAATAGTGAAAGATGATATGAATTATTGAGGGTATGATGGGAAAATGGTGGAATAATGTGGTGGAATGTTGGATAAATCCAAAAAAAGTAGTTGTAATAGTGTATTATTTTAAGAATTATTGAGAGTATGATGGGAAGATTTAGAAATGAGAAGATTTTTTTGTTACGGACGAAAAAGGAAAGTGGGAAGATTTTTAAGTTACGGAGGGAGTATTTTTTTTCTATTATTGATTAAGGGCAAATTACCCCAAGCAAATTAAATACCCTCTCAATGTTATCTATCACAAGACCTAATGTAGTTAAGCCGTTTTTGAGACATAAATTAATAATATGATATGCACAGTGTTGATGAAAAAATCTTCCATCAAAGTCGAATAATCACATTATTCATGTAATCTAGGTATAATAGCACTATTATTAATAGCATTATCAAAATCAATAGCAAACACTTATCAATCAAATTATATTCTGTTAAAACTCATTACATGATAACATAAATATTATCACCGGTGTGTTTTTCATTAAAATCTTTAAAAGCGATAACTTTCATATGCATCATTCAATCATCATCAATAAAATGTAGTCACATCCAAATAATACAAGTGATGATATGTTCCCATAAATCACTCCAAACAACCACGTGTGAATGGAAGTTTGCAAAAAAAAAGAAAAATTAAATTTTGCTTTACCAAATTATGTTGTTTAATAACTTCTTTTTAGTTGTATTCCGGATATAGTTTTAAAATTGTGGATTTAATGAACCTAACCTTGAGCATATTGCTGTAAAACAAGACTTTTAGAAAAATAAAAGATAATTTCTTTCACATATTAATCCGAACATATCTTTCAAATGCTGTTCATCATCATAAACAAAATTACCAAAGTGTTGAGAATTTGTAAACTTTGAAATTTGGATTCGTGTCCCCATGGCTTTAGTCCTGCTTTCTCCACGGGGTATCTCGACTCTAAAAGCCTCCTCACGGTCCCGCATTTCCCATGCTTAGTCTTAGTCTCTTAGATCACAGTGCCACCTAGGGATGGCAATGGGGCGGGGTTGGGGCGGGGGTTCACTCCCCCATCCCCTGCCCCGTGTCTAAAAAATCGCCCCCACCCCCGCCCCATCCCCCACTACTATTCGACCCGCCCCATCCCCGCCCCGACCCGCTAGACCCACGGGTACCCAACGGGGGAAGTACTCGTCAAAAATTAACATCATTTTAGACTCTGACAATTTTTCAAAAATTAAACAACACTTCTAGTAGCCAAAAAAAACTTTTACTTTTTTAAGTGTCAATGTAATCATACATCCCATTTCAAATCTAGAACACATAATATGCGTTCTAATTTAGTCATTTTTACCAAACTCTAAATTAGCATTGATTAGCTCTATAATATTTTCTTAAACCCTGCATTCAATCAATCATGGTCATTTGACAGCATCTAGGACGACCTAAGATTACCAAATTTTAAGAGTCCTAACTACAATCATAAAGATGACATTTAAAAGAAAAGAATTAATGCATTGTAATAGTAAAGGAAAAAAACTTTCACACCGTGCCTGGGGCGTTTAAGCTAATACTACGTATCACTTTATAACTTTTTCAAATTCATTTTACTTTATCCCTAAAAAAATCATTTTACTTTATGATTTTGATAAGCAATTTTACAAAATAGCTTAGTTATTAAACAAGAATTAGATAGACCCATTAGACACAATCCATTAGATAGGAAACCACTAAACCCACCAGGCCACCATGCTATTTTAATTACTCCGTATTAGTATTACTATTATTATTAGTATTATTATTGAGATTATTATTATTATTATTAATTATTACGGGGGACGGGGCGGGGGGTGCATAACCCATCACCCGCCCCATATTTATGCGGGGAGAAAATATCTCCCCCACCCCACCACCCGCCCCAACTCCCCCCCATGGGGCGGTTCCCCACGAGCCCCCGTCCCCATTGCCATCCTTAGTACTGCCACCTGTGCCGGCAGACTCAATACCATAACCCCTTCTCAGCATCTTTTCCCTCATTAAAATGAAATTAGAAAAGGTGAGAACGTAATTTCTATTTACAAGTGCCTATGTTGGATTGTGTGGATGAACCAGACTGCTCCCTTGGTCTTTGTGGGGGATACTTCACCTTGTTGCTCGTCCTCCACCAATGGCTCCTCCTCGATGGCGGCAACCTCCAACTCTTCATCAATTTCAGGAATGGTATCCTGATTTATAACTGCAGAAGTCTGGTCTGATCTAATCTAGGACTAAAAACAGACCAAAAGAAAACATCCTTACACAGCTAAAAGGAAAAAGGGGGAAAAAATAAAATACAGCAGTTTAGGATTGTCCAGGAACAGGCTGGCCAGTTCCGGTCTGGACATGTCCCAGGATTGTAGGTACAATTGATGTCCATTGTATATGTCCTTCGAGAATTAAAAAATACTCCTTCCGTATCACATATATCTTCCCACTTTCAAAGTGGGTGAGATTAAGAATAGTGAAAGAGGATAAAAATTATTGAGGGCATGATAGGAAAATAGTGAAATAATGTGATGAAATGAAGGATAAATCCAAAAAAAATAGGTGTAATAATGTATTATTTTTTAAATTATTGAGAGTATGATGAGAAGATTTAGAAATGGAAAGATATAAATGTTACATCCAAAAAAGGAAAGTGAGAAGATATGAATGTTATAGAGGAAGTAAGAAATAACCCGGTCCAACCGTCCAAGGTTTCAAATTCCACAGCAACATCATGAATAATCTAAGCAAATAAGCGGTGACATCAGTAGCTAACATCCAAATAAATACAAGTTATACAACATTCCATTTCAAACAACAACAAAAGTTACAGCCACAATCTATAACAAGGAACATGCTTATGAGTTTCAATAACATCCCAAACACGAGGTTCAAGACACCAAATTAAAAAAAAGGTTCAGGACACAAAACATTCACAACAAAAATTGTCTGCCTTGGCATGCTCTGGCAAGGTAGGGGAAAATTTTACCACAAGATCGAAGCCTTCATCACGGCGCCAGCCCAACAAAACTCTTCTCATATACACTTTTGTACATCCAATTAGTATTTCCAAAATTTTGAAGCTCCGCGGGGGGACCTTATGTTGGGTATTAGGGTAGGTCCCACACATAAAAAGGGGCAACACTTGTCATTCTTTATCAGCTAAACTCACAAGGCCGTCAATATTCTGAAACAAAAGGAAGTCTTACCTTCATTCCTCCTTTTAAGCTTTCTTCTCCATTGACACTACCCATAATAATATTACTATAATGTACATGAGGATATTTTGGGTGAAAATAAGTCTCATTCATAGAAACGTTAGCTGCATTTAATTGGATTCCTGGACAGGTACTGAAGATGACTCTCCATGTGAGAGTGACTCTTTTGATGGGCTCTTTTGAGTTTCATGGTTGTTTTCATCGCAACTTGGGCCAACTCGACTTTTGTTGGGTCTTGACCTGACATGGACACCCATAGGGAAGGGAACCTGTAAATGCAAATTTGGTCATGCAAGCATCTTCCATACTATGGATAAAGGAACAAATCGCAGTAAAAATTGTTCATCCAAATTTTTTATGTGCAGTAAAAACATCCACTCGCCCCAAATAATCCCAACAAACACCAGAGATTATGGCTCTGTTTGATAGCCAAATGTGGCTTGTTCTGCTTAGCCTGCAGAATAAGTGGCTATAGACTTGCTTGTTTGGCTGAAATGGATGTTACTAAATGCTTTTCCTTTCAGAAACAGGAGATTCAGCCAGCTCAGCCTAATAACCCTTGCAAACAAGCCCTAGACTTGTCCGGTGACCCACTCCCCCACCCCCACCCCCACTTTAGTGACACCTATTCTACATGCATCCCCCTCCAAACCCCCACTAATCCCCACCCACGTGTCAGGCCCAAGTTTATTGTCTAGCTGGTTCCAGGCGCTCTTTACAAGATACTCCCTCCCTGTTCTCAAATAACTTCCCGTTACGGAAATTTTGTGGTTTTTAAAGTGATAATTAATATCTTCATAAATTGGATATACTCACATAGCCCTATTGATTTCTAGGTATAAAGAGTACTAAGCCAATATTAAATATGTATAGAAGAAAGGGAAACATAATCATCTTAGTATGTTCTACTTTTATTGATTTGCAAAATGGGCAGTTCTTTGGGAACGAAAGGACAAGAGTATAAGGGGAAGAGATACAAGGAATACACCATACTTGGGAACAAAAATAGTTCAAATCCAAAAAGGAAGTTAGGGGGATGGGTAGAAGATATATGATCATACTACCTGATCGCCTGCATTGGGACCATCAGTATGGAAAAGAATAGGACGGCATCGCTTATCTTCATTCATCAAGCTAGAATTCTGGAAGTGAGCAACAAGGGCAGCTTTGCCCTGGATGCGTGCATATGCAAGTGATGCTACCTTTTCACTATTGAACTTTTCCCATTTCTTTCCATTGAAAGCCTGATGCATCAACCAATAACTCATCCCTCTCAATATTGTGAAACATATACCCACTCACAGGGTACAGAAAGATTTCAATACTGGACTGTATAAACTATTTAGGGAGGTAAGTGGGAACCTTACTTGATAAAAAGAAATGATGAACGATGGATCAATCATATTAATAAATGCATACCCCACGTTGCATTTGTTCTGCCAAAAAAAGTAATTAATTAAAATTGAAAGATCCACCAGCATTAAATCATTATTTGGTAGAAGTGTTTTTTTGCTTATGATCAGCCACATTTTTTATTACTTGGCATGTCTTTCGAGAGAGCAAAGTGGAGGGCAGTATTCGTGCGGCGGATTGATCTCTTACCATCTTTTTTATCTTCTCCATCATCTTTTTCATCTTTTTTATAATTTTATCTTCATCTTTCTAATGCTTTTTATCCTTTTTATATACAGAGTATATTATTTTTATCCTTTTTTATCTTATCATTTTTATCTCTATCTTCTCCATCATTTGCAATGGAGCCAAAGACTCACTATTTTTTGGCTTGGGAATATGATGGAATAAAGCAAAATAGCTCACTAAACTGTCTGCGCTTCTTTGTTATGATGCAGCAGTCAGTCTTGTAATTTTCGACGCGTTTTTCACTATGGGTCATTCGGAAATAGTCTCTCTGTGCTCAAGTACAGGGGTAAGACTGCGTACATCCGACCCCCCTTACTCCGCCGTTGGTGGAGCCTTTGCGGCACTGGGGTATCTTTTTTTTTTATCTTTTTTTATCATACCATATCTTTTTATCTTTTCTCTCCGACATCATTTATCAATTCATGTTAGCCGACCCCAAAATATTTTGGAACTCAGGCTTGGATGTTGTTGTTGTATGATCAGCCACATTTTTTCCCAAAGACCATCATAAATGACTGTTCGCTAAACCATTTTTTAAAAAATAACATTTTTTTATAATTCAGCGCATTCAGCCACAACTTAAGTCATTTCAGGCACGACAGCTAATTTTTGTAGTTGGCAATAAAGGATGCAAGAGCCATATTACATGAACATCTTACCCAGAGTAGTAGTATAATATAATGAACATGTTATGGACTCATTTACGGACAATGTGTATCAGTGGCGCAACAAGCCCAGAGAAGGCTGATAGGGCTAGGCCGAAATGCTGAATCCTCCTTAAGTGCGCTGCTCAAGTTTTTTCTTAGTTGTTCCAATTAGTATTCATTCCTATTACTGAATTGTATTACTGTTAGAATTATCTTTCCTTATTGGGTTGTTACCCTTATGTGATAAGGCTAAATGGTTGGAATAGTGATGGTGCTATTGTAATATTTGATCTTTTGATCGCACGGTGGAACCCGCATAACGGCGTTTTCCTTCCTTTCCTAGGATGAGGGCTGGATTTTATTCTAAGCACCATAGCTTCTAAACGTTCTCATATTCAACTACCATGGACCCAACCTTGTACTAAAGTCTCAAAAAGAACATACCTTGAAATCGATGGGCAAATAGATGAAATCATAAATTCCTTTATGTTGTTCATCGATTGCAGCTAAAAGCATTTTTGATGTGTACCTAGGATCGGCAGCACAGGAGATAATTGAGACATGTTGCAACATACAAAAGGCATATGGAACCTGCAAGATGTATCAAATAAATTGTGACATACTTGTTAGGAATGTTCTTTAACATTAATGTTGTCCGCTTATCTTCCCCCCGAACAATCCGTTCAATGTCAAGCTCAAACTGCTTTTTGTTTTCTGTCTGATTTGAAGGGCCTTCATTTCTTCGGCTTCTTGACCTCTCGTTTGGAGAATCAAATGAACTCATCATAGGAATCATTTGGCCCCTCGGAGGAAACATCATACACCTCTGATGAGGAGACGGTAATCCGACACTCTTTGAAGTGATTTGAGAATCTATACAGTTTCCACCGCCCCGAGGAAAACTGACAAAGTCCAAGGTGTGGTGGGGTGAGTTGCCAGTGATCTGCAAGCTACTAAGAGAACCTGGATGGAAAGCAGAAACTTCAGGAGATTCACCAGCATACACATGTCTTCTATCCCAAATAGAAGCATTGACAGAAGGGGCTGATCCCATGTGGTGGTTGCTTATTGGTAGATGTGTATTCAGCATGTGAGTAGGTGCATTAGAAACAGAATGCATTTGTTGTGAGTGAGCAGTGTGAATTCCATTTACAAGTGATGGTGAGTTTGGCCACATCATTTCTTGAGGAGGCTGTTGATGATGGGGAGAAGCACTCCATGCATATGGATGCCCTCCAGATGGTGCACAGCTTCCATTTCCAGTGGGACCAAAAACTGAGCAGGGTAGAGGAGTATGTTATTAGAATATCAGGAAGCACAGAAGTTCTTGAGAGAAAAAATAAATCAATCAAAGTAAGCAGGTTTTGCAAAAAAAAAAAAAAAACAGAAGAATGGGATCTATTTGAAAAAATTGGTCTTCACACTCCATGGTTTACCCCCAATGCACCCCATGTTTTATTTTCATCATGAGCCCCATGTGGGTTGCAAGGTCAAATTTTGAGGTAAACTGAGGGATACTAAGTTTAATAAAAATGACTCACCCCAGGGTGCATATTCAAACAAAATAAAGTATGAGCAAAATCAGATTTTAAGGTAAACCAGAGGATGCAAAGTCTAATAGAGATGACTGGCTCTGGGTTCATGTTAAAATAAAACAAAACATGGTGACAGAAGTCAAATTTTAAAATAAATCACGGGGTGCAATGTATGATAGAAATGATTTGCTATGGGGTTCAATGTCTAATAGAAATGACTTGCTATGGGGTACATGTTCAAAGAAAATAAAGCATGAGGTGAAAAGTTAAATGTTCAAAGACCAATTTTCCCTTGTCTTTTGACAAAGGTTGTGATTCGAGTCATTAATTTTAACTACTATTATATCTTAAATTTTCCCTTGTCTTTTGAGCTGGGGTTTTGTAAATATAAAATATAAATCCATGTAATTCTGCACTTACCGCCTTCATGCAGCCCAACCGAGAGCCTATTTGAGCCAACTCGATGGAATTGCTGATTGTCAGTCACTTCTGACGTCCAACCATTAATATTTGGGGACATGACACCTAGAGAACTGGAGGCAACTCCATTGGTTAACCCATCAAGATATTCTGGAAGAGAACAGGGGAGGCCGTTTGTCTTGCGCATGAACTCAATGTTCATTTGACCCATTAAATGGCTGGTATCACAGAGATTAGACTGATTGCCAACAGATTCAAGCCTGACCAGAGAGGCTAAGCAGTTAGGATTAAATGATGATATCCCATGGTCCAAGGTATTGTCCGAATAGTGAGTTAGTGACTTTGCAGCAAGTCCACCAAGTGTACCTTGACCTGGTAAGATTCCATTTACCCGCATGCATGTCAGTTTAGGTCAAAAGGAATTGAACTTAATAAATGCTTATCAGAAATAATACCAGAATATCCAGTCACAAAGTTACTAGGATAACTATTCTGTTGCACATGAAGACCAATTTCATCATGTTTTGTTTCTCGAGAAAATTGTTGCAACCTGCAAAGTTCGCAAGCCCAAGATAACAATAGGAAAAAACTAAAAAAGAAAGAGTATATTATGGCTTGCAATTTTTAGGTGTTCGTATACAATAAGACATAAGTGAAAATTACCATACACAAGATGAATAATTAGAACAAAAGTAAATGCAAAAATTGAAAAGTATGTATTAGTATCTCCTTTGAAATAACAGCATGTTTGGTACAAACTACAATGAGGTATGTTGGAATGAAATTATTACTTATTTTGTGTTTGGTTTTCTTTTGGTAAGTTTATATGACATTATTGCCGGAGCAAGTCCCATTTTCTTCCCTTCTTATGGAGAAAAACTAATACTACAGCGCTCAAAAATTATTTCACAAAGTTGGGGAAAAATCTCGAAGGAATGTAACACTCCTTTTTCAATAACCTAGTCATATTAATTAATTAATTAATTAATTAATTACTTTAAGGATGGCACATGAAATAGGGAATTTTAGTAGATAAAACAACATACTGCCTAGCCCCAGCAGTAAGACTTGGTTCAAGCTTAATCTGCTTCCCGGCAATGTAGCTATTGTTCAAGGCATATATAGCCGCTTCCGCAGCCCTACTATCATAGAACTGTATCAATTTGTAATGGCTTTGATGTGGAATCTCACGGATCTACATTGCCAAAGAGAGACAAATTAGCAAATTTCTAAACGCACCAAAGAAATGCAAACGTTCAGCATAAAAATAACCTCCTTAATTTCTCCATAGGCACCAAAGATATGATGAATCTCATCATTACACACAGAAGGTTCAAGGTTGAAAACCATTACAGTACCCTGGTTGATGTCCTCAGATGGATGGCCCTAACATAGATGAACAAAAAGAGACCTTAACAGGGGACATGGCTAGCTCGAATGTAGGGGAACAATGAGTCCAGTTAAACCATACCTTAGGGGCAGCAAAATGTATGTCTAGCTTCATGTGTCTCAATGGCTTATTTTGGAGAGCTTTCATTGCATTTAGGGAAGATCTGATATCGTAATAGGATACCACAACAAAACCACGATGCTTGCAGGCTGTAGAAAGAGAACGAATATCTCCGTATTGCTGCATATTTAATGAACAATAAAATGAAACCATCAAATTTATAATCACTTCTATAAACTTATGGTTGGGGGGTTAGGAGGACACAGAGTTAGACTTTAAGGCCACTGCCAAGAACCTACCTCAAAAAGAGACTGCAATTCAGAATCTTCAATATTGCTATTTAAGTTTCTTATGAGGAGTGTTCTGGATGGATACTCTTCAAACGGGAAGTTCCTACCACCTGGAGCTCCTAAAAGCAAGCCAGAATTCCTTCTGCTTGAGGAGAAGCCGTCTTCTCCCAGGTCCATCCCACCAACACTGCTAAACAGGTCCAAGTCTTCTCCATCATCTCCATTGTTGGGTTGGACAACACAGTCAAACCCATCAGTGACTGCTGCAAATAAGTCGTCATCATCAGGCAGAAGATTTCCAATAGTCTGAGCCTCGAGTTCTTCAAGGGATTCCAAAGGTTCCTCTTCCTCATTATGTAGAGCAGTAGCACCAATGGAATGTCCATATATAGAGCGGTTTGTTGTCAGTTGTACTGCAATGTAAATTTACAGAACATGAACATCATCTAAGTCTCAACTCTCTTCTATTTTAAAGATGGGGATAAAATTTATTAGTTATACAGCTATAATTGCTACAATTTTGAATTGAGGCATTGTTGACTAGGTGCTTATTTAGTTGAGGGATTTCACACAGATGGGGTTGGCGTAGATTTTTTATTTACTGACTTAACTCTATTACTCTATTAGTCAGTGTAAGACTAGAAATAAATATATGATTTGTCAGATCATGTATTCGAATATACTTTTTTGTCTTCAGCTTATTTCCAATCATCCAAATGTACAAATAACTTGAAAAAAAATTATGACTCTTCCCCTTCCCTTTCTTCTGAAATCTCGGAATCAAACAAGCATTGAGGGAAAACTTACACTTTCTACTAAACAACTCTGATAATGAACTCGAAAAAAGACCATTTTCATGTTGATCCCCAAGCATCTTTATGTTGTCTCTTTCCGATGTATAAGATGTGGATTCTGTATGGCAAATAGAAGTTGTGCCTACGCTGTGATCAAGAGTTCTTGCCAAAGATTGGCTGGCTGCTCTTTCTGATCCGATTGCATGCTTTTGTGTTGCAGATGCCAGCTTCCTATCATTTTGTAAATAAGAATATGAATTGTGAGGTTTAAAACCTTTTGTGATCTGGCAACCTATAGGTGTCTGGTCCTCAAACGGCAATGAAGGGACGCTTTCTTCCCTGAATGTTCTCTCTTCTTTTAAACCTTCAATAAAGGAAAACCAAGTTAAAAGCAAGTCCTGAAAACCCCAAAAAGAAAAAGAAGAGTCAATATCAGCTCTCACTTCTCGACTGATGCAAAAGTTAGATGCACTAGGAGAACTTGGCGAAAAAAACAGAAAATTCTGGGAGGTTTTTACTTCGGGATTCTTATGGGAAATGTCTGAAAATATCTCTGAGGAAGGGCAAACCAGCAGAAGATAAAAACATGCAAGAGATGTTAGGACAATAGATCGGGTCCAATGAACCACACCACACAACTGACCCAGAACAGCCCAAGGACAGTCTGGCTCTGGGTCAAGCCAGTAAGCCTGACAATAATGCTTCTGGGGTATGGTTTATGTTAAGGGGAAATGGGTAATGTGAATGATGGTGAAGGAGGCTCCCATGCTTTGAGCAGGGAAGAAAAAAATGTCCTTAATAAACTTATCAGTTATTTATTTCTTGCTTGCTTCTTAAATGAAATCCCCTTCATACACTAGGGATTACAACTTACAAGTTCAAATCAAGCTAAAATGGAAACGTAATAATCATTATCATCATCATCGCCTTATTGCCAACTAGATAGGGTCAGTGTCATTAAATCTGTAGTGTTAATTAATGGAATGAAATGACTTCATACAAAAATTATGCTGGATTCCCTTCTTGTCCATATGAAATGAGAATGAAAACTAATTTTCATATCAATCTAATGATACTTTAGGATCAACTTCAATGGCTCCTTAATTTACAAATTACAACCCCGCAGAACACCAATCTTGTCCTCGAGTGCGCAATCTGGAAATCGGGGACCAAAAGATGCCCAATGCGATAGTGGTGCCGACCTTTGCGTTCCTCTCGAAGTCTTCCCACTCGTTTCATTTTCAAAAATGCAACGTTGAACTCTTTCATCTTGGAACCATAAATACTTTTCAGAGATGAGTTATGTGTTTTTAATTACCTTATTCATCACACACTATGGTTTGGCGACTTGGTTCTTGGAGTGGGGTGATTTCTGTTGGAGCAAGATGGGGGTTCATGGGGTTGGTGGAATGCGAGCACATGGGGCAGTGTGATTGAAACAACTTCAAGTGGTGGTTAAGGATACATTGTGGATGACTATGATGAAGGTGGTGCGGTGGTGAAGAAGAAAATGGTGGTCGCAATGATATCAAAGATCTGGCCTCAGTTCTAGACTCTAGAGATGGGGATTTACTTCAATTATGATCCAAGGAAGACACAGTCTCCCATCCCTAGGCAGCTCAGCCAAATCAGTAAGAAAAAAAAATAGCTTTTCCTTTTATGTAAAACATACACCCGCTATGCATAATTGTGTTCCAATCTAATTCGACCACTGATATTCCCCCAATAACCCAAATACCCAATTAGCTCATATGTGCAAGTGTTATAGAAATAAATGCCAAGCGCTTCAATAGATTCTGCTAGTTTTGGGAAAACATATATCAATAAATAGTTTAATATACTCCATAACATTTAACTCAAAAGTTATTTATATAAAAAGAACTATTTAAAAAAACATATTACAACTCACCATTGTAATTATACATGCTATTTGACTTCCAAAACCCATTCTGGCTCTGTTATGGCAAAAAAATCTTGAATATGAAAGACGTGATGAAGGTAGAAGAAATTATTTTACTAATTTAAGAGAAACATTTTGTACCTCATCATGGGGTTGCAAGTCCTCGGAGAAGAAGGAAGAGGGAGAGAAATTCTGGGGGCCCATCATCTGGGATGGCATTATGCAATCTGGCATTATGCGACTTGGACTTGTAATGCACTAAAAATCTCAACTCAAGAGAATCATACGCATCCAATTGTATGAAAAAACAGCATTATCTGACTTCTATAAACTGCAATAAGATTGATGGAAATACGATAGTAAAGTACTAATTAGTTTCATATATAGAAAATAAGTGCTTTAACTAAACGGCGAAGTACAACTTCTTAAGTTCCTTTTATCTATGGAAGGTGCTTCGTACCTCAGATAACAAATACAACAATGAACCAATCAAAGGAAATTTGTACACACAAAACCATCAAACAGATCCAAAAGATGAACGTAGCAGGTTTAGCTCAAACTCCTATACACACCAATTCAAAAAGGGGCCAAACACAGGGAGAAAACGAAAGCACGCACCTTTTAGAGTACGGACAACTTTGCTGAAGAGCAAATGAGAGAGAAATTTGGAAGGAATTCAAAGCAAAACTTTCAACAACAGAAGCAAAAAAGCAGAGGAAGAAAGGGGCAAAACGGAAAAGGGGATTTCATTTCATACAAAGAGAAAGAGAGACGGGAATAAATTATCTTCGGGAAATGCAAGGAAAGGTAGGAAGAATGAAGAAGCGATCTAGGAGCGTGTGTTCCGTGAAAGAACCACCAAAGCCTGACGCCTTTCTCTCTCTTTACAATTCACGTTAACAGCAGGTACCGCCCACAACACAATTCCCCCCGATTTCCTACGTATACACGTCTCCCCTCCGCAACAGACCGGTCCGTTTCTTCCCAGATCGGAAACTCTGTGGACTCCGGCGAGCGACGGACGGCGGTGATCCCGGCCCCTCGCTGGCGATTTCCCCCCCTCTCCCGTTGCGAGAGCGCGCGAGAGAGAAGGAGCAGCAAATTACAAAAAATCCAGACACGCGATACAAATACAAAACCCGGAGATCGCTCGGCCGTGGATTAGGAATTGAAGTTGACCACGCCGTACAAAATTAGAGCTCAAAAATCACAATTAATTAAGCAAAAAAAAGACACGGAAAGAGAGGGAGAAAATGGCGGAGGAGTGTTGAAGAAGACCTGGTCACCATAAAAGCTCCTACAAAGGCGATGGAGGATCTCCGATGAGCTAGCTCATCTACGATCTACCTATATCTATCTATCTATCAATCACTCAAGAGAGAGAGAGGGAAATGGAAATGGAAACGAGAAATGAAAATAATTATTAATATAATAATGAATAAAGATGATGATGATGAATTGGTGATAATAATAATAAATAAAAAAATAAATGAGAAACGGTGGCCTGGCCTGGCAAGTTTGGCGTTGGCATTAGACGTGACGATGGGGCGGGTTGCCGTTACGGCCCACTAACGGACGTTCGATCTCAATCAAAGAGGTATACGGATGTCGGGTGCGCAGTTTGTTAGAGTAGGCGATTCTACTTTTGGCTTACTTGCACGTGCCTAGCGTTGCGTTGTACAAATTCATACTTGGTTTAGCTCCTATGGATAGACAATAGATAAACACATCATCATAATTCATAAAAAAGAATACAAGCACTCCCAAATACTACGTAATAATATTAAAAATAATAATCTTTCACACAATATATAGAGACTCTTTTTTAAAAAACAATATATAGAGCCTCTTTGACAGTTTGATGGTACTGATATTGACTAAATTGGATTAATGTGTTTAAATTTGTGAAATTTCACATTGAAATGCTTGACTCGGTTTGATTATAAAAAATGCTGTAAATATATTTTATAAATAACATTAAGAAAGTATAACATGAAAATAGCTGAAATAATCATTCTCACCAAACTCTTTCCATTCAGTCACAAAAACAATTTCAATCTTGTTTGATTTGATTAATTATTACTCTGTATACAATTACGCATTCGTGAAATTAAAACCAAGCTATTTGACAAACAAATGGCTATATGTTCCATCCCTCTTCACATAGGAGTATAGGACTTTGCTTTTGAATAATAAAATTGAAGTTTGTGTTTTGCAAATCAGTTTTTTGACTTATTAGTCTTATTTTATAAAATAATAAATTTTCTATTTTGCGTGTTGAAGAGCATGACAAATAATATAATTAGTTTTTTTCCTGAAGTAGTTGTATATGATTGTTTTACTATTTCAAACTTTCAATATATAATATTTTCTTTAGTTTTTTAGTAAGCTATACTTTAAATATAATAATTTCAACCACAAAATCAACAAGTTCAACAAATAAAATAAAATTCAGTGTTATCAAATGAAATCAATAATTAAAATTTGTTCTCTTGTGATAATATTTAGATTTTTGCAAATGACAGGATTTTTATCAATATTATCTTTCATCCCAAAATAAATTTCATTATCTTTGCAAATTTGTCTGTCCCCTCCATAAGTTTTGAACCTTAATTTTAATTTTCTTAATCACATGTCAAGGCAAAACATCACATTTTTATGGGGCAGGTGTGGTATTAATATTTACAATATACATATTTAACATTTAGATAAAATGATTTATTGAACTAAGAACATCAAATTTAATTATGTCAAAGATTTATATGAAATTAGTTAAGAGTCATGTTGAGGATTTAATGCATCAAATCCCCTTGTGATATATAAAATATTGGAATTAGGTCTCACGATTTAATAAAGGGAAAAGTATCAAATCAGCCTCAAACTAACACAGATAGTGCAAATCATCCCCTAAACTACAAAAATGTGCAACCAAGACCTCCAACCTGGCGATATAGTGCAAATTACCCCCCCTTAAATTAAAAAACATATGCATCCAAATTCTCCAACTCGGTGATATAGTGCAAATGACTTTCCTAAGCGGTAATTTATCGATTAAAGCTAATATGAGATATTTATTATAAAAAATATGTCACATCAGATTTAGTTATTCGTCTCAATATATCTCACTTAAACCTTTTATTGACTACTTATAGAACGAGGTTGAACACGCAATCTTATGAGATGCTCGTGTGTTTCCACGAATAACTAAAGACCCGTCGGTGAACTCAAAGCTAAACATAGCACTGCCCCGCCACTTCACGAACAAAACGACTACCGATCAAGGTAGCCGGATTTTCAAAGACTAGGGATGTTTTTAATTGGACTAAATTTGTTAGTTTAGTCCGAACTGGTCTTATCTTGTTTGGTAAATGTCTAGTCTCTGTGTATTTGGAAGTCTGGTATGGTCTAGTATGTTTAAATCTGGTCCGGTCTATTTAAAATTGGCATGGGACTGAAAACGGTCAAAGTAAAAACATCCTAGGAGATTTATGTAACCCTTTTCAATTGTTATTTAAATATTTTGTAATTGTACAAGTCGAGTTAAAAAACATCATATAAGTTCGTTTACTTTAAAAAATCAATCAATTTGACCATTTAATCAGTTTTTGAACTCTAATAGCATGTTTTTTATATTAAAAATCTTTTTCTATCTACTTTTACATTTGTACTGTTTTTATATTATTCTAACATTATTTTCTAAAAATTTATATGATTTTTTATAAGATTTATCAATATTATTGATTTAATTTTTCAAAAATAACTTGTTACAACAGCTCAAAATGACTTGATTGATTGTATTTTAAAAGTAAGCGTACTTATACAATATTTTTTAGTAGAAGAGCTCAAGTCATGAATTAAAAATAGTAGAAAAGTTTATTTGACCATTTACTCTTTTTTAATAAACGGCATACATCAGCTTTAACCGGTAAATTACAGTTTCGGAAGGTCATTTGCACTATGTCATCGAGTTGAAGAATTTGATTGCAATTTTTTTTATTTAAGGGGTGATTTGCACTGTATCGCCGAGCGGGGAGGTCTTGATTGCATGTTTTTATAATTTAGGGGGTGTTGCACTTTTGATATTAGTTCAATGACTGATTTGATACTTTTCCCTTTAATAAATGCGTCAAACCTCCTGAGTTATGATTAATCATGCACAAAACCTCATCCAAGAACAAATTTAACAATTTGAAAATCATTTATCTTAATATTACGTAGTATAATTTAATGTGCAAGTAAATTTGTCAAACACTCTAAATTATACAAAAATACTAGTCATTTAGCTTTTACGGAGTATATGATAATTACATTTAGGATGTTTTTACTTGGACTGTTTTCAGTCCCAGACCAGATCAGACTTAAACAGACAAGACCATACCAGACTAGATTAGACCAGACTACTTCCGTAGTTATAAAATACACGGAGACCAGACGTTTACCAGACAAACCAGTTCAGACCAGACCAGACTAGACAACCAAATTACAGTCCAAGTAAAAACATCCTTATTTCTGAAAGGTTTTTTGTGCATGGTTGAATATAATATAGGAAAGTTTGGAACATTTTTTAAATCACATGAAACTAATTCGCATAATTTATATATCACGAAGGAGCTGATGCATTAAACCCATCATATGGACTAGCACATCAGGACGACAGTGAAACAAAATTTAAAATGAGAAAAAAGTGGTACTATTTTCTAATCTATAATTGGATCATTTTACTAGCATTTAGTTACTACAAATTATATTTATCTCATAAATAATTATTTGACCTTGTTTATTAACATGGTTAAATAATTATATTTAATTATTTTACCTCATCTGATATACCTTTCGAAGAGTGCATCAGATAAGATTTATTCAGAAGTGCATTGGATAAGGGTTATTATACATCAGATTGATAATTTGGAAGGCTGAGATTAATTCTTATTTTACACATTAAGATGTTTTCTCATTTGAACTCAACCATATATATATAGATTAAACTTCATGTCAGGTTGCGCAGTTAATATATATAAAAAGCGCAGTATTTTTCATGTAGCTGAAATTTGGTATAGATAAACTACAATTAATGAAGAAGATGTTCAAAAAAATTCATCGAAAAATTCCACCGAGAAGACCCTCAAACGGGCTCGGCCAGACGGCGGGTCCTGTTTAGCCGGCCTGACAGGCCAGGAACGAATATATATAAATATATATGTAAGGTAGGCATAAAAAAAAAAGTAAGGTAGGCATAAAAGTTACAATCTTAGGCCCATTTCAATTGAGGAGCTTCCAGGATGAATTTTTTGATGAAATTTTGTGAGCATGTTCACCATGAAGTGTTTATTATGTCTACCAAAATTCAGCTTAAAATTTAATCAAGAAGTCACTTAAATAATTTTTTGAAAATTGGGCAGTTTTTTATACATAAAACTTGCATTCTTTTCAATAGTTTAGTTGATTGAATTCACGATTGATTTTTAAGTTGAAATTTGATGGATATAACCTACACTTCATGGAGAATATGATCACAAAATTTAATCAAAAAAATTGACACGCACCTCAAATGAAAGAGGCATAAAACTTGCAACTTTTAGGTCTACCTTACATATATAACCTTACATATATAGGGTTGAGTTACCTTGGGTTATTCTCATTTGATTATTAGTCTTTATATGTATGCTTTTTTTTTAAGAAAGAACGTGTTATTCATAATAATAAAAAGTACAGGACAAGAAGTCAAATAAAAGGAGAAAACACACGAAAAAAAGGAAACAAAATAAATAAATGATTCATAATCATTATATATATGCATACATGCACACACACACACACACAAAGATTCATAATCAAATAAGAATAATGCTTAATGTGAGAAAATGATAACATGCACATTTACCCCCAATATAATGCACAACGAGACTCGTTCATTGCACTTTTTCATTTTGCATAATATTTACGAAAATGTTATCATGATTATTACGAATAGTTAATATTTACAAAAATGTTATCATCATTATTATACCCCCAATATCATTTTGCACTTATTTAAAAAGTGCACTAGACGACCTCCATTGTTCATCCATTCGGTTAAACGTGTGTACGTGTTCTCACGTTAAGATATTCTCATTGGAATCGCACCCTACATATATAATTATATCAGGAGTGGATCCAGAAACTTTAATTATTGGGGCACTTATTCAGTGAAACCAAAAAATCATTCAAATGTATAATTAAATATACTACAACCTCCATAAGATGCAATAACCTAATATTATCAAAATAATATTTGTTGGTTTCATCACCACTTCTTTCTACGAGTTTTCATAATTCCAATTATTATGGAACCCGTTGTGAACCAATTATTACATAATTCCGTTTGATCCAATAACAGTTAACTAAATTCAAGAAAAGAATAAATTCTTAAAATTATAATGGTGAAAAGT